ACAGGACATGACTTGATAGGACAGGACTGGACGAGACAAGACTGGACGAGACAGAACTAGATAAGCTACCCCAAAAGTTATTTGATGATTTTAGATATTATATAATAGTTATAATTAACACAAATAAAATAAATAATTAATGAATTTAATTTATAAATATTTGTACATAGTTTTCATATTTGTATCAAATTTGAATGAAAAGATTGATATAATTGATGGTAGTAGTGGTGGAGGTGGTTTTGGTTATGGTGGAGATGGTGGTGGCCGACGGTAGTAGTGGTAACGAACGGTGGTGGTCGGTGGCCGACAATGGTTATGGAGGTAGAGGCAGTGGTGTTTGGTGGACGACGGTGGTTATAGAGGACACGAAGATGGTAGATTGTGATGGTGGTGGTGGTTGACAACGGTGGAGGAGGTAGTTGTGGTTGATGTAGTGAAGATAGTGGTGGTGGTGGTTATGGTGGAGGTGAGGTGGCAATAAATGTTGGTGGCCGATGGTGGTCGTGAAGGAGGTTGTTGCAGTAGAGGAGGAGTTGAAGGTGGCGAACGGTGGTAGTGGAGGTGGTAATGGACGGTGGTCGACTATGGTAGAGGTGACAATGGACTTGGTGGACGGTGGTTGTGGAGGCGCTGGAGGATGTTATTGTAGTAGAAGAGGAGGTGGCCGTCGGTAGTGGTGGCGGCAGCCGAAACTAGTGGCGATGACCATTAAAATAAATATCATATTAAAGTTATATATCAAACTAAGATAAATTAGTAATATTTTAATTTCTGTCATATTTTTGTTCCATTTAATCCACCTATTTTAATAAAACAAGAAAAATTCTCTTTTGTCCCGTACTATCCTACCTTGTCACAATTCATCATCCATGTCACACCAAACATTAGACGGTTGGTTTTGTTTGGGACATAGCTTGTCCCATCCCGTACTGTTGCTTTAGATTTAAAAAAAAAAAAAAAGCCCCGGGGTCTTCCTCCGCTCGGCTAATCGAAATCACTCGACCAGTCATTTCTTCCGATTCTCATCATCGTCAGACGACAAATCAGGCTCCCCTCCGGCCTTTTATCAGTCATCTATTTTCCACAACGATACCCGGACCGAACACGGCGGAAAATCAGTCTCCTCCTCGTTCATCTCTAATCGACTACGACTCTGCTCACTGCTGGCGGTAAGAAGGTTAGGGTTAGGTTGATTTAATTCCATTTAAACTTGTTGATATGTTAGTTAGAACTTATAGTTGCTATTTTTAACATTGAGTAGCTTCATGTTTGCTGGTTTTAATGATTGTGTCTTATACTAAAAGCAATGAAGATTTGATTGTTCTTGACTTGTTCGTTTAGCATCAAGGTTTTTATCGAAACCCTAAAACCCATATAGGTGGAACTTTTTTTAATGCTATGTCTGACATGGCTTCCACTTAATGCACTATTAATTTTGATTTCTGCTGTTAATGTAGCCTGTAACCAGGGCATGGTGAAATCAGAATGATGTCTTTGAGCGTGTTATCAGTACTTTGCTTTGTTATCAAATGACCTTTGATTTCTTGGAGAATCTTAATTTTGATTGAAATCAATTAAAGACTATGTTTTGGACCAACATGCGGTGGAGGACGGTGGCCAACGGTGGCCAACGGTGGTTGTGGTGGAGGAGTTGTAGTAGAGGTGGAGGATGTGGAGGTGGTGGCTGACGGTGGTCAGCTGTGGCTGCTGGTGGTGGTGGCAGATGCGACTAGCGGTGATGACCATTAAAACAAATACCATATTAAGGTTATTTATCAAACGATGGTAGATTTGTATTATTCTAGTGTCAGTCTCGTTCTTGTTCCACCTATTTTGGTTGAACAAGAAGAACCTTTTTTCTCATGCCGTCCCAAATTATCCCAGTTCTTGTCCGTGTCCTTGTTGCGCCAAATGTAGAACAATAAGTTCTTGTACTGTCTTATGTCGCACCAAACGTAGGACAATGAGTTTTGTCACGTCCTGCCCTGTCTTATGTACCAAATGCAGCCTTATCGAGTGTTCTACTTTGCCTGTCTAAGTATGTTGCTATCATTATTATTATTAATAATCAAGATATTACTAGCATATACCTGAAAGAATAGATTGAAAGAACAAAGGATTGGTGGTGTTTGCATTAGTGTCACAGATGGGGACATGTGAGTCTTATATATCCTATGTAAATCTTTTCATGTGATACAATTGGGGTTTAGAATCCTTAGTTGCATTCTTGACTGTTGTTGTTGGCTCTTTTTCAGCAAATTAACGAATATGGAGGAGGCAAACAAAGACGACCGTTCAAACAATGAGGCTTCATGTAATGACAACTCAGAAGATGGTAAAGATTTGGTCTGCAAATTTACTTAATGATATGCATGTTAGCGTACGGTGTTGATTGTTTGATTATTGCTATAATTTATAAACGTTGTGAATGATGTTAGTGGCTTTCAAAGAAAATGAATTACTGGCTGGCTTGTATGGAACCTAGCTCATCGTTGAATATTATTCGTTTTAAACACTTAGGAATGCAAGGGTTTAGAAAGTACATAGGACGATTGTTGCTATTGGTGCTTCATGATGCATCTTTTGCCCCACTTGCTATCACGTTGCTTTCTACGAAGCCCACAAACTATCTAGCAAGCTAGTAGTTTCCGGGGAATCATGTGTAGAACTTATATGCGCCCATTATGAGAAACTTCAAAAGATTCACACTTTAATCCCTTAACATTTTGTTCTTTTCTAATTTTCTTGCCAAGCAACTAGGTTCATACCTACTCGTTTAAGCTTACATAAATGTGTCTTCGATCATGTTAACACATCCGGCCATACTCACCATAATCTCCAACTTGAAGGATCACTTGATCTTTGTAGGCCATCATCTTATGATCTTGTTGTTCCTATTTACACCTTATTAGACACACAAGTATATTCATGCAGAGCTTATATCACAAAAGGCATAGCACATTTAATTGAACAATACACATAAGAATACCTAGAGTCAAGGTTTTAAAGTACGAAAACATGAGGCAAGGCATTTTCCCTCCCTGAGGCAAGGCGTAACCTCGAGGCGGTCGGAGGCGTAAGTCTTGAGGCGGAAAATAAAAATAAATAAAATAATTATATATATGTAACACTTATCTGATAATAATATTTAGAATCATAATGTTGCTAATAAAGTCGTTAAATACTTTAATTTTTGTAATTATTAGTTATAGATTTTATTAAAAAAAAACAAATTAAATTTACACACTAATAAAGAGAAACAATAAAAGTCTCCCACATAAAGTGAAACGTCAAAAGAAACAATAGAAGTGACACAGAAGTCAAGAGAAAGAAGGAAAATCACTCCTGCTATGTAGAATTAAAGAGTCTTGATGCTCTCTCTAGTCGCATCCCTAATACCTAGTCTTTACTATATAAAAACGAAAAAATCACACATAGCAATAAGATTGCTTCTTCAATGGCTATGGCGCTAGGTAAAGTAAGGAGCAGAGGTTTCACTTTAATGGGTCATCAATTCGGTAAGTATATTTTCTTTGATTTGGCATATTTTTTAATCCTAAAGCCTTAGTCCCTCCTCAGCCCTGCCTCGGTAGTTCGATGCGTACTTCTGCCAGACGTTTTGTTTGGTTTGGTTCTGTTCACATAACACACATTCTCCTTTTGTCTATATAGAGTACTCAACAAAGACTCATCAAGTTTTAGCATCAAGCCATAAACTCGGGTTAATCCTTAGCAAAGTATGTGAACATGAGTGAAATTTTCAAGGTAACATAAATAGGAGCTGTGAAAAACAAGATATAATAATGTATTTGTCCTGTTAACATCATTTAGCTGTATATGAGGGTTAGGATTGGTATCTGTATCATTGTTAAAAGTGCAAATATATAGATTAGACGTATGGGTCAATGGGGTGGAACACGAGTAAGAGAATTGCAAAATGTCTTATATATCAAACCGCATTCTTCATGTGAGAGAGCTTTCTTCTAGTGGGACATATGCTGTTACTTTGGTCAAAATCTGAAATCATGGAAGCGGTCATGACCGTGATTTGTCCGGTTATCGCGATGGTAAAGCGGTCCAAAAAATAGCGGTTCATATAATGATTGGAATATTATAATGTATATTTTGGCAGTTGAAAGTCCATCTACTAGTTCTTGAAATTGCATATTAATATGTATGTTTNATGTATATTTTGGCAGTTGAAAGTCCATCTACTAGTTCTTGAAATTGCATATTAATATGTATGTTTAGGCAGCTAACTACATGCTTCAAACGATTAAAAAGAAATAATTAAATCTCAAATGACTGATGTCAGCTTCAAAAATGACATCATTCCAAAACATTGTTGAGCAACTTCAGATATCAGAAGTCGTGAACTTGAGAAATTTTAACCCAACCCTAAAAGAGCTCTACACTTGGCACAAAAAAGAGCCCAACACTAAATAACCCAAATAACGTAAAAACCAAGCACAAGAAAAACCGCAGATTTAGCACTGCTATTGCAACTGAAAATTGCGTCAAAGTGCCGCAAATAGTATTGCTATTAGTGGCACTGTGATTTCACACTGCTATTTTCTCGAGGACCGTGAACCGCTATACCACCGCTATGCACTGCTATAGCGGCGCGATTAACAGCATACCAGTGACACGACATCGTACTGCTTGAACATGTGTCTTAGGCTTATGCTGGACATGCTCTCCTGATAAATTCTAGAGTCGTGGTTTCTTATGCTGATGATTCTGGTCAAAACAAGAGTGAAGAAATAGGTGACTTCTGTGGCTTAAGACAAGTGAAATAATATTAATCAAGAGTATTATTTATCTTTCTATGTAATCTCTTTAGTAAGCTATGTGCTTTCAAATTTAAATGAATTATGGGTTCTGGTATGATAACAAACACAATTTGCATCTAGTTTTTGTATTTTTTTCATCAGCGGTAGGAGAAGGGGGTTACACTCCAATTTTTGAGCTCACTCAAGAAAGGGAGAGTCCTTTACCAACAGGCTATCAGCCTGATTCAGTTAGCTGATTTTTAGCGTAGGAAAGTGGCTTGTTTATTATTCTTTAGTAGTATGCTTACACGAGGTAATGGGCTTTCGACTTACGAGAATTTTGTTGCTATACTCTCTCATAAGTTTTCATTTCCTCTAATCTAAATTTTTTTTTTCTCTCTCTCTCTCCTACGATGTTGATCTATATCACACAACTACTGTTCTGTGACTTGACTGATGTTGTGGGAATCAGCAGATTGGGAAGCTGTTGCAGATCGTGCTCCAGATGAGTTGCTGACTTCACAGTGCTTACCAGATGTATCCAAACTTGAGATTGAAGATAAAAAAGATCAAACTCCTATAAGACGTGGGAGGGGCACATTCTCTTACCAAAAACATGGCTTGTATAGTGATCAACAGTCTGGTGTGCTTGTTGAGGATGATTCAATAGATCAAGCTGTGTCCCTTGGTTCTGAAGGACATGGACAGACAAGAGATTGTAGGTTCTTTACTGCTTAAACATTGTGTGTTTTGTCTTTCATTTGTTTTGCCTGCTTCAGGAAAAAAAGGAAATAATGCAATTTTCATGGGAAATCTCAAATAGGAAAATGATTTCATTTTTGTGGGATGGAGGGAGTATATATAGTTCTGATGAATATACAAATGCAACTGAAATTATCCATTTTGAACATGTGTAAAGTGTATGTGAATCTATGATGACAGGCACCCAAATACGATTGTATGCATAGAGATCTACCCAAATATGTTGATATTCGATATATGACATACAAATGCATGCTTGTTGGTTTGTGTGTTTGATTTTACATCTGTGAAAACAGCAATTGTTATTTTGTTTATTAAATTTGCAAAACTTAAGTTAGTGTCATAATAATTTTGTCGATCATGTCTTTAAACCCCAAGGTTTTCCTAATGATTAGACACACATCGTGTCTTGAGAGTTTTTCAGTGAGCATGCTCTGAAAGATGAAAAAGAGTTGCATCCCTTGTAGCAGTAAGTTTGGAGTTTGGAGCTTGGAGCTAGGCATGGCTTGTATGACACAGTAGGGGTCATATGTTGCTTCCTCCAGTGCAAAGATGTTTATGCTCTGGCCATTGCTATGTGCTGGATGCCATCAAGATATGGTCCGTGTCTTTGTCCATCACTTTGAAATGTTTTCGCACCTTTTGAGTTTGGAATCTCTCAAGCTCTATAGGGGATTCCTCTCTTGTCATGTAAGGTCCATCCCACCTAGACGTTTTCATAGAGAAGTGTTAAAGCAAAAAATTTATTAACTATACCTATTGACACATGTGGAGTTTCCTGGAGATTTGTTTTTCCTTCTTTTCTAATAGAGCTGATGTTCAGGAGGCTTATTGTAAATTAAGGAATTTTTGTTTGCTTCGTTCCACAGTTCCTTGAACTCCACAAGCTGGAGTCTATGGTTGAGCTGACCCCTACTTACCCAAATTGAAGGTTTTTAATGGCCTAAAAGTGGTAATGTTCTAACTCCTACCTGCAAATGGCAAGCCTCTATACACTAATCAATATGGGGCTTGCCAATATGTTTTATGTTCTCTAGGGTGGGTAGGCCCACAAGGCATCCTCTAATCTCAAGGACCTATCTTTCTGATCTGGGTCGCAGTTTTGGCCATGACAATTCTATTTATGTCATTAATTTATGATATTAATTCTCTTTGGGACGAATCTTTATCTTATTCATCTGCTAGTTAAGCTTATGATAAAGTTTGGGAGCAAGACTATCTGCGTCCATGAAGCTGTTATGAGATTTTGACATGGCCTTGTTTATTATGGTATCTTTATATACACGAAAAGCTTTTTCTTTCAATAAGGTCATGTAAAATTACTCCAAATCCCATTTTACAACAGAAATAGAAACTGTTGCAAACTAAAACTGAATGGCCTGTAAATTTTGACTAATAAGTCACACCCTGATTGTTCTCTGAAGGGCAAGCCAATCACATCAGAATTATTCAAATGCAAGGTAATTGGGAACATAATTATTACCCTATGCTTCTCTTCCATCATGTATAAAAATTCAATAATGGAGGTCTGGTGAATTTTTAAAGAACTTGTAGTCTATCAGTCACTGCTGTAATTCTTAAAAAGCAAGATCTGAGACTTTTTTTGTGTGATTTCAGTAAAATATGGCACACGCCATGCCCTTGTTCTGGAGGACTTCCAACCAAGTATGACTACAACTGGGCTAGAGAATATGTTGGAGAAGTATAACTATCATGATGTTGTGATACGCTGGGTCGATGATACCACTGCACTTGCCGTGTTTAGAACACCATCCATTGGTAACTTCATGTTCCTCGTATTAGTTGATGCTTTTGGTTTTTAATTAATTGTTATATTAGAGGAAGGTAAGCACAAAGTATCAGATTTCAGTATGTTAAAATAGAATATTGATTTATAAGCTCATTTCTTCCACCAAGTCAATGATATGTTTTGTTTGTGATAGTTTATAGTTTATATGTTCGTTTATTTTTTAGTTAATATCTCAGAGACTTGGTCATAGGCTTAAGTTATAGAAACAACCTCTTTGCAAAACAAGCAAATTACTACATACAAAGGCTTCCTAGTCTCCCAAAGCCAAGGAGTTTTGGTCTCTACAGTCTTTTATCTAATTATTTCCTTTAATTTGCTTTGGTCTTTAGAGTTCATCTTCCAGAGATAAGTTGCTTTTTACACCTGTACATAATGCTTAGCACTAATCTCTATTTTATTTTGGCTCAAACAAATTAAGACATACTAAATAGGCAGATTTCACATGGATCCCTGCCCATCAAATTGGAATCCCTATGTTGGGTGACTTATTTTTTTTGGTTCTTTGGGGGGGGGGGGGGGAGTTGGGGGTCGATGGATGGATTTGGGAAGTGATATTTTATGGCATTGCCCAATATGTATAAGTGACAGAGAATGCTATCATGTCTAGGGCTGGCGGTGGGTAAGGATGAACACGTTACCCATTATGTTTAGACCTGTTGGATAAGGGTATGGATAAGGAAAGTTATATCTGCTCACTTATATCTTCCCAGCAACTATATGACATGATACCGAAGGGTCTTTGTCCTAGCGGTATTGTAGCCTTTGGCCTCCTAGGAGGTCAGGGGTTCAAACCTCACCATAGGTGAGGAGGGTGTGTGAGTTTATTTGTTGCATTTGCCGTATATAAATATTATATACTTCAAAAAAAACTATATGACATGATTCATGTCAATAAAAGTGAGCAGATATAAGCATGAAGCATCCACCAAAAGTAGTGCTTGAACAAATGTAGACTTTTAAAAAGATTCACCTTGATGTCTCTGTGATGAGGCTATTTATTACGATTTCATTGGAATATCTCTGAAATACCTTGGAAGAGAAACAGCAGAAGAAATAACTGGAAATCTCTACCTAGAAATGAGAGTCTGCAAAGGGTCCACAGCTGGCTTGCATACCTCTCTACTAGAATTTTAACACCTGATGATGCACACTCCATCCAGTCAGAATATATTCCACTGCCTGCGTAACCTTTTTAGGACTCATAACAACATTATTGAAACATCTCGAGTTGGTTTCCTTTGAAGAAATAGGGATGTTACTGTAATCTTATGGGCAATATAGAAACAATATTGTTACTATCCCAAAAAGAGAAAAAAATGAATATTGTTGGTGTCTTGCTGGATGGTACAAGAATAGAAGATTACAGATTCTGTTGCATCTAACCAAATCACTCATGCGTTTTACCAAGATAGAATTTCTATCCGTCATGAGCTTTAAAGCATGATCTGGTGACTGCAGTTGATCCATAAGCCTTCTTGAACAGCAGACCTTCTGATCGAAGTGCTGATGGCTCATAAACACAGGCAACCAAAAGGATGTGGAAGCAGTTGGCCAGAAATTTATGAGTGCCCTTTTCTCTCTGTCTTGACGCTGACCTCCTTGCATACTAATGGTACTGACAGTCTGACAGTAGTTAATCTAGTGATTGAAGTGTCTTATCATCTTTTGGTTCAACTACTGATAATCAGGAGAGCCATGTGTTGAGTTAACCCCAACAATAAGCGGAAACAAGCTTTAGGAGGTTCCGGCTAGGATTGATATCCAGTGGGTTGCTTTCCTGACTTAATTTTTAGTTTGTTTGTCTTTTGTTGTTCTAATACCATTGGAAGGCATGTTGCTATTGTTTATTGTTATTGTAGTTTCTATTTTCTTAATATTCGTCTAATCGTGTTTATTCTTTGTGATATTGTTATTATTTTTTTTTATGAGGATTATTGTTATTGCTTATCTATCATCAAACTCTACTATTATCAAATACTTCTTCCATGGACAAAACATGTAAAGGTTGAAGAAGCAAATAAAGCAACTTAAAGAACGGTAGTTACTTTATCTGCATGCATTTGGAAATTTTTGTGCTTGCAAGTGATGAGGTCTATGCATAACATTTTTGCATGTTATTGAACCAGATTAGATTTGATGTTTTACTGGTGTTCTTTGCCCTAACTAGTACTATCTGAGTTTCTTCAACCAATGGTTGTGAGTTCGAGACTTGTCCATAACATGATGTGTGTATTTCGACCGATTTAAAAGAAAATAACTTTAGAAATGGTTGACTCAATCTTAGTGTAACATCTTAGCATGAAGAGGTAAAAACGAGAAAATGCAAAGTGTACATGATGGACAAAAATACTGATATTATCAAAAAAGCTTGCAAAATACAAGTGATGGTGAACTTGTGCACAAACTAATCTATATGCTATATCTTAATGTGGAAACTGTAAATAAGATCATGCATCTTTTACATAGTGCTATATGATTAGACGAATGTCAGTATTGATGATATGCATATCCTAGATTGAATTGGGGAAGTGCTTGTTTTTTATGATAGTCCAATCTTGTTGTGCAGCTCTTGAGGCATGTAACTCAATCAAGTGGCCATTTACAGTTCGTGTACTTGATGAGAAAGATGTACTCCTAAGCACCCTTCCAAAAAGAGGTAATATGCCTTCATCTTCTTTTTCTTTCTAGCCACCATCCCTGTCCCCTTGTCCCCAGGATACTTGCCAAACAGATAATATTTAATTTCTAAATTTAATATGAACTCTCATCCATGCCACTTGGATTGACTCAACATGTATGCCAATTTTTCTATATAGTAAATCTATGGCTGCCACAGAACTCTCAATTTTTTTTCTTTGGTGACGAGTCTAATTAAGAGGAGAGAGAGAGTGTGCGTGTGCATAAATCAACATTGATGAGTTTCAATGTGACTTTTAGTGGTTGGAAAAATATGTGCTCTTTTCTATTATCAATATATGTTTCATTTATGTATTTGTTTATAATAACATGGATGTATAACTTATTGACTTGAAGTAGGCAAGGCTCTATTAACTATCTTCATGTATACCTTGGTGTACTACTGAACAATATATGACTAAATACGCTTTGGCCTGGCCGGTAGTTTGCTTATATGTCATTAATTTTGACACAATTTGCGGTTGTTGATGTAGTTCAAATGCCTACCGCAAATTGACTCGGAATTAGGGATTGGGTGGTTAGTCGAACAAGTTTGACAAATGGGCTTTTTTTGTCCTTGCCTTATGTTGCTTTCTTTCCATCTTCGAAAATTTACTTGTTCAAAATCCAGAAGAAATTCGAAGGCAACCTTTTTCACCATTAGCAACCATTAAAAGATAAATGGTTAGCTTGATTTGGTCTACAAGTGTAGGGTTTTAAAACCATTTTGTAACCATTAACGCAACGAACAATAATTTTAGGTTACATTTTCCTTTTAAATAAGTTCTCTAAAAACAACCGTAAGCTGGATCCAATGACAATATAAAACAAATCTAAACAACCATAGGGTGTTTAGAGGGTTACCTTTCAGATCTGTCAGGGATATGTGACGGAGTACTTAGAAAACATGTTGCGTGTTTCCTCTTGGTGATCTACACACGAACATGCTTCTGGCCTCCACCTTATGCTAGCCCAAAACCCTAGATCTAATATGTGTTTTATAGAAAAGAGAATGTTTCTTTTCTATGTTTTCCTCTGATAGCTAAATCTAAATGATCCAATCAAAATTTGATTTAGCCTATCACCTTATTTATATGGACTGTGTTATAGATACTTCATAACTCAAATAAGGTTTTAGTAATTATCTGTAATTTTATATAATTATCATAAACTTTATAGGAACCCAGAACCTCAAATGCGCTAGTAATTACTGCTTGAGTTAATAGATAAGCAGAAGCAACAGTAATAAAACTGGAATGGTTAACACGAAATGACAGACACAATAATCTTTGAGGAAGCAGTCACGTCTGCTGTATTTCAATTAGCTTGAAGAGATTACACAAGAACACCAAGAACATACAGTAATGTGTGTATCAAAATTCTCTCAACTACCTAAATCTCACAAGTGCAAAATATATTCTCTCTAAATATGGCAGGAGCGCGTCTTCTTTATTTGTGAATTGTTAAGGAAATTCTTAGAGGAATTACCCTTTTATAGGCGTTTCTAGAAAATAGTTCTTCCAAAATTGGCATTTTTTGCTAAGTTAACGCGTCCACCAGTCTTCTGCCTCCACGTGTTTGATTGCAATAACCGTTTCTGTATACGTGTTGGATGGAGGCTAGAACACTTGTAAGACAAGCCGTGGAACCTTCACGTAGACGGGCTAAGTAGGAGACCCAGAGGCTCTGCATGTACTATGCAGAGGGAGTTGAGCTCTGTATCCGCGTACTTGGCTTTGTGCGCGCATGTCTTCGGTTTTCATTCCCTCTGTGTCCGAGCTTTGTATCGGAGCTCTTGGTTCCAGGCCGCTTTCTGATCAAGTCCTCTTGACTAGAGCAAAAGACTTTTACTTACACTTTCAAATAAATATTCTAACAATCTCCCCCTAAGTGTAATAAAAAGACTTGCTAGAAGTAAACACTAGTCTAGAAAGCAAGAGGCCAACATGGTCCTCTGTAAATGACTTTTTATTGAAATTGAAAGCGTTAAGACATTACGAAACATGATTACAAAGGATAAGAGCCTACATATGTTGTAACTTCACGAACCTTCTAAATAGCTCACGAAAGTCCACAGTTCATCGATTGTGCGTATTAGCTCTAAGGCTCCACCTCTTGATAAGGGGTCTTCATCTCCCTTCAGGATCACTTTGTTTCTAATCTAGAGCAGAGTTGTATCTAAGTACTTGTATTTTTATATGCTCTGAAGAAGATTTTCTCTTTGTGCTTGTTCCTGAAGATGACTCCTAGCTTTGAATCGACTATGATCGTCCAAGATGGAATGTACTGAATGTCCTCAAGTTTTTCATTTGGTGCAGAGACAGATAGTTGGTCGACACCTATCTCGAGAGCGATCTGGAAGTCCACCTTGCTTTTGTATTCCAAGAGATCCGTTGTCGTTTGTCTAATCGCAGAGTTGGCCACAACATACTTGATTCCTTTATCCCTCTTATGGTCGGTGTGGAAGCACAGAGTGAGAAGATCCCAAGGGTTCAAATTTATGAAGTCACAATCCGTGAACACACTCATCTGGCCTTGTGACCTCTCCACCATGTACTCGTGGAAGATAATTTGATTGTGAGCAAAGGTTCTTCTTTTGACGTCCAAAACCTGTCTGATCCCATCGCAGAAGTAAACTTGGCTCTGGGCCAAGGTGTATTGTTGAAGAAACCTCCGTCTGATGTTCTCTTGGACCATTGGATGCAGAGTTATCTTTATGCGAGACACTTCTTCCCGATCTCTGTAGAGAAATTGATAGATGTTCTCATTGGAGACTAGATCTTCAATCACTTTTCCTTTGGGAAGAGGCCTCCTTATGGCGTCCATTTGATCTCTGATCTCTTGAACTCTGTCGTATGCGGGATTGGAAATTGGGGGTCTGCTGTTGTTGGGCTCTGCATGACTTGGATTGATTAGTGGAGGTTGGAGTTGATTTGGTGCAGAGGCTGGACTTGCTCTTGAGCTGGAGCTGAAGTAGAAGCAGAGATTAATGTAGATGCAAAGGCGAGTCTTGAAGGATTCACCGGTTTGGCAACAAAAGGTTCATCCTCAAACTCTGATTCAAGAACGTTGACCACCACCTCTTTGCCTTTATCCGGTTGTTCTTTGGCTTCCTCCATGAAGGGCTCTGAGGACGATGTTGATGTAGATGGAGAGGAAGGAGCATTGGTGATTAACTTTGGAGGGAAGGTAAGATGCACCCATGTCTTCACCTAAGACAGATGCAGAAGCGGGCCTCGTTGATCTTGGTCTTGAGGTCTTGGTGAAGTGGCAGGCTCTGGATTTAAGTTATGAGCAGGTACAGAGGAGACGGGGGCAGCTTGAGCAACATGTTGATGAGAGCTCTCCCCCTTTTGATGGTTTTGAGGGCTAGAGTCATCTGGGTCCTCTTAATCATCAAATTTCCTCCTCTTGGAGCTTTCTGCGCATGGAGATCCTACCTTCCTCAATCTTCTCTTCCTCTTCTTCTTAAGCTCTGTAAGCGGCATCTGCTTCACTTTCTCATCGAACAGCTCAATGATGTCTGTTGTGGCTTGAGTTGCTTTGGTTATCTTGACGTCCGCTCTGAATTTGAACGTAGCCAGAGATCTACGCATCTCTGCAGCCGCTGTCCTGGCTGCGGAGTTAAAGTCTGAAGTAATGGAAGACACTTTCTGCAGTAGCTTGTCGCCCAGAGCAACCATGTCGGTCCTCGTGATGTAGTCTGCTGGAGCGTTGATTGGAATCAAGGCCATTTCGTTTTGCTTGACCATGTCCTCTATGAACTTTTGAAATTGGTCCATAGAGACGGGCGTGATGATGGCCCTTGACTCCTCCCTCTTGATGTAATCCACCACTCTTTGCAGAGTGGCATTGGTGTTTGTCGTCAATCCCATTTGTTGTTCGAGTGGTTTAGCATTTGTCAAAGATTCCGCTTCCAGAGATCCAATGGATGCTCGAACATCATCCAAGGCAGATGCAAAGGTTGATGGCTTTGCATGAGCCATTGTGAGTTTTAGCTCTTCCAAGGAGCACTATCGAAGTGAAGGGAATTGGAACAAGAGGAACTTTCCATGACTTTCTTTGATGATGATGACATCTCTAAGTGTGCAACAAGAGGTGCCTCTGCACGCGTTCGAGAAGAGCCACAACCGTCAGGTACAACTATCTCTGGCCCTTCTGACGCCTCTACTCCCACTTGTGATCTTGCAGATCCAGAACCAGAGCCTAACAGCTCTGCATCAGAGCCCAGTCCCTCAGAGCAAGAGAATACCATCTTTGTATCTGAACCTGGTCCCTCTGTACTACAATCCGAGGGGGAGCACGCAGAGCCATTATCACCTATAAGGGACACAATGCCAAACATCCCTATTGAGCAAGATTTCAGAACTCCACCTACAGTACATCCTCCCATGACAAGATGGACGAAAGAGCATCCCTCACACCAAATAATTGGTAATCCTTCACAAGGCGTCAAAATGAGAGCTGCCACTGCAAATGAATGTTTATTCGTAAATTTTCTAAACATGGTAGAGCCAAAGAAGATCTATGAAGCACTACAAGACCCAAAATGGGTCGATGCCATGTAAGACGAGCTACTCCAGTTCGAAAGAAATAAGCTATGGACTCTTGTTCCTCTACGTAAAGATTAACTTGCTATTGGTACTAAGTGGGTCTTCAGGAACAAGAAGGATGAGTATGTCATCGTCATTAGGAACAAAGCCAGGTTAGTTGCCAAAGACTACTGCCAAGAAGAAGGCTTAGACTATGACGAGACATTTGCACCAGTAGCAAGGCTAGAAGCAATTCACTTGTTCTTGGCCTTTTCTGCACATAAAGGATTTCAAGTCTATCAAATGGACGTTAAATGGGCCTTTATGAATGGTAAGGTTAAGGAGGAAGTCTACGTACGTGCAACAACCTCTTGGGTTCGAGAGCTCTACACATCCAAAGTATGTCTATTACCTAGACAAAGCTTTGTATGGGCTCAAGCAAGCACCC